CAGAGAAGTGAAGACTGCAAACCTCTAAGTCTGGAAGCTCTCCAACAGCTTCATCAACAGAGAGAAGGAGGAATGTCCAAGCAGGGCAAAGCAGCCTGGGGTCAGCAGGGACACGCTTTGTGTTGGCACCCCTGGTTTGAACGAAGCAGGGGAAGTGTGCTGAGCTGCTGCCATTGTGCTGGCTTGGAGGACAGAAGCAGGAGGCAGCCACCAGGCTGAGCAGGAATTGCTTCACCTTTAACAGCAATACAGCATCGAGTGTCACTGCATCTTGAGAGTCACCGAGAAGGCAGAAAAATGTACCCCTTGCATGTGGGTAGCACTGAAGGTTAACCAGCCCGATTCATTGGAGGAGGTGCTTTGGGGGATGGCCTTGATCCTTCAGGTCTGAAGTGCCTGATCCTGGCTCTGGCGCCAGCACAATGGGCTGGGCAAATTCCTTCTGCTCCACTGGCATGAACTCTCCACTCCAAGACACGCGGAGAGCAAAGCCTCCCGGAAAGCATCCGTGTGCAGCACCGAAAACTGCACGAGGGGAAAGCAGGGATCAAAGCACGGGAACACAGAGGGCCTTTCCTTTCAGTTCTTTCATGTTAGCAGAAGAGAAGCCAAGGAAACTCTCAGAAAAGAAATTGGTGCAGAGAAGAAAGGAGATGCTGTTACAAAACTGGAAACCTCATCTTCTTGTTGGTGCCTCTCTGGCCTGAGCAACGCCTGAGATGAGACACTGTTACATGGAGCTGCTCAGTGATGAGTAACGCTCCCTCCTCCTGCCTTCCTCTGGGGACTGCTCATCACTGGCAGGATGGACAGACAGACAGACAGACAGAGCATGCACTGGGGCAGGGGAGGACAAAACTGAGAAATCTGAATAATCAGCCTAAAATTGATTCACTTCTGCTCAATCTGATTCCTCCTAACTGGATCCACATGTCCTGGCCATGGCACATTAACTTCAATTATGGCTTATTAATGTCTCTGTGATGGAGCGTGCCCCGCTGAGCACTGTGGTGACTGACGTTATGAAGGGGAAAAAACTACTCCAAAGAGACACAGTGTGTAATGGAAAGGGAACTGGCGGCTTTCACCACCCTGTCCCCAGTCCCGGCAGCCAGGAAAAGCTCATTCATCCATTCCTGAGAAGACGACCGTGCTGATTGCTGCACCGAGGTGAAAACTAAGCAGTGAATAGAGATCTGTGGGGAAAAGTCTTTCCGCTGCCCTTCCCCACCTTGCCTGGCTCACACACAAGCACACAGGCCAAGGGCTTGCTCGTGTCTATTCCTGTCTTGACCCCTCTGCATCTCCAGTTACTCTGCAGATCAATAGGGACAGGATGGAAGAATTAAAAAAAAGAAAAGAAAAAGATACCAAGAAGAAGAAAGAGAGTAAAAATAAACTGTCAACCACAAACGGAGAAATGGACCTGGCTGAGGTTGCACGAGGAGACGCAGATGAAGCAGGCAGAGGAGGCCCTGAAGAACCAGCCCATTGCACCGACCCCCAGGAAGGGAGCAGTGACCCACAAGATTCACCAGGCCCTCTGGAGATCCTCACAAACTCTTGACTGCCCCTTCCCTTCTCCCCATGTCCTTTGCTCTGTCTCTTTCTGCTTTTCCCAAAAGCTCTGGGAGGTTGCAGTGAGGATTTTTCCTTGGTCGGAAGCAGAGGAGTGAAGGACAGGGTGCACCTGGATGGGAGCCCAGGAGCACATGGCCCAGGGGCATCAGAGAAACCTCTCTGAATCTACCAGCTAAGGCTGCAGCATGAGAAACCACCCAGGCTCATGGTCTGCTCTGAGGGCAAAGCATTTTGCTTTTCCCTTGACTGTGAACATCAACTGAAAATGAGCTGCCATGTGTCTCACTGCCCTGCAGGCACTGCCAGCTGCCTGCCAAAATCCTGGAGCCGTACAGGGGCACAGGTGATGCCACGCACAGCTCCCCTGATGGCACACACCGCTCCTCTGATGGCACACACCACGGCCGGGCACCGCTCCTCCAACCTCCCGGGGCTGCTCACATCTCTAAGTCACCGCTCCTCTGCTCTCCAGGTGGGATTTTCTGGCTGCTTTTTGCCTTTGAGCCTTAATTTCTTCATAATCATCTTCCCTCTCATTTGATCTAGGCACTTTCCTCCTGCTCCTGAAGGTGGTTGTTCCCACATCCTGCAAGAGCCACCGTCCATCTCCAGCCCTGCCTGCCCTACCTCCCCCCTTCCCCGCACAGAGCTCCTGCCAGGCTCACATTGATTTCTCCTCTCTTCCTCTCAATAACCCACCTCTTGTTGAGCCATACACAAGATTTAATTTGGTTTTAGTCCCTGCACTGTAACTGGCTTTGCTTACAGCTAGAATTAGATTGCTTTCCAGTGAAGAAAACTGCTTGCTGGGGCCGGAATAATCACAGGAGCAGCGTTAATTCACATGAAGCTTTTCCACCTTCTACACCACTTATCCACAGCTCCCCAGCCGGTCATCCTGCCATGTGCCCATCAGAGCTGGAAGAGTCAGCCCAGGACAGGCATCCATGTCTTCCCTGTCCAGAATGAGCGTCCCTCTCTCCTGGGGACCAGCCCAGCAAGCGGGGACAGCCGGAGAGAGCTGGAGCAGTGCAAGGCGGGGTTTTGCTGTAGATAGGACTTGGAGCTCCATGCAAGCAAGCTCAGGACTCCAATCTCAGGACTTGGAGTCTGGGCCACAAAAATCAGATTTCAGAGCTTTCTTTGTCCCCAGCCAAGGAAAAGCCCTCTCCTCCCTGCCGCAGGGGAGGAGTCGCTGTCAGGCAGCTGGGGGCAAGCAGAGCCAAGAAGGAAGCGGCGGCCCATCCATGCGGGTGGCCATCCATGCAGGCAGTGCACCAGCTCCGGGGGAGGCCACCAGGAATTAGTCAACAAACCCCAACCCATCTCGTTCTGGCCCCAGCAAAAAGAAGCAGCATTGCAGCTTCCATCAGGTGTGTGCAGCCCAGCCCTCCCTCGCCAGCGCTGTCCTCAGGGTGCAGGCAGCTGCAGGTTTTCAGATGTCTCACAGAGGTTGTGCCCCCCGCCTTTCCTGGGATGTTTGAAGGAGCTTTCCTCCCCTGCCCTATTTGCCTCTTTTTATAAAGTTTGCAGGGATTTTATCTCTTGAAACAATCTCTGCTGCTATTAAACGGTATTAAATTTGGCCAGTGAGTTCAAAACATAGTGGGGGACTGGGTGTGGGGGGAGGAAGACAGCTGACAGCCAGCAAGGTGCTGGTTTGTGGAGAATCCCATCAGTGTAGCTAGAAGTTGAAAGCACTGCAGTGCCGCACCCTGCCCAAGGCAGGCAGGAAAGGGCTCTGGGGAGGAAGGCATTCACGGGACACCAAGAGTGTTTTAACACGTATCTTAAAGCACCAAGTACCCCCAAGGTGCTGTAGGTGCAGTAACGAGTCCTTGGTTACCCGCACAGTTGTCTCCGTGCTTGGGAGCCAAAGGTCAGCACAAAGGCATCAAACATTTAATCCTAATTTACCACTTTCTGAGCTGAAAACCCCGTGTCCCTGTTCCAGCTCCAGAGTCTAACCAGCCCGGATAAATTGATCCACCAGGTCCAACCCTCCCTGGCAGCCACCCCGGTCAGCGTGGGCTTTGGCTGGGAATTCATCCCTGTGGCTTTGCCACCACTGTTGGTACCACCAAGTGTCCCCGCAGGCAGTTCGGCTGCCCGGGGGGAGCAGGGCTGTGGCAGACGGAGCTGGGGCAGGACTGGCTGTGGTCGGGGTGGACGGGAAGGCAACGCGCTGGCCTTTCCTCTCACCTTTGCCTGCTTTCCCTTCACCCTCTTTGCTTTGCAGTTTTGCCCTGTCCTGAGCTGTTGGAGGATATTTAGTACGCCTGGCAACACTTACGGGCAGGTGTAAAATGTCCCCCTGCATATCCCCACACAGAAGCAACCTGTACCGAAACCCAGGCGCTCACAGATGGACGGAGGTGCTCTCCCACACCTCTGCCGTGTGCCGGAGCTTCCCAGGGCTCCTCCCTGAGCCATCCCGGACACGCTGCCAGCCAAGCCGAGAGCTGCGGCTGGCTCCACCAGACGCTGCCTCCTGCCTCCCCGTGCAGGAGCAGAGGGCTCTCCCACCCCTCGCTGCAGCTTCCTTCCCCTTGGAGCCCGCTCAAAGCCAGTCTCCGTGGCACCTGCGACACATTTTAGCTTGCAAGTCTCAGAAGCAAACAGTTTGGAACCGATACAAACGGCTCCTCTGTCACTGTGGTGATTCTTGTTAGCGAGGGGTGGGTGATGGGGAGATTTTTTCCCTCTCGCTTGTAAGTCTTGCACAAGCTGCATCCACAAGCTGGATGGGAAATTAGCCATCTCGGCATTTTTCCACCTTACTTTGCTTTTTCGGTTGATGTCATAACTTAACATATGGCATCGTACAGAGAAACGAAAAACAAAAACCAGGAGAAACAAACCCCCTCCTGCTTTCCCCTGCCCCAAATCTGTCAGGGGGTTGCCCTCACCCCAGACTTCATCTGCTGGAGCTTGGGCTGCTCCAGGGGTGCAGGGCTGACTCAGGAAGGCCCATCCTGCTTGTACTGGCAGTGAGCTGGAGTTCAGTGGGGCAAGCCTCATTCCTCACCACCCCGAGATCCACTAGCATCGGCCCTGAGATTTTTAGGCAGAGGCTGGCTGTGTTTGCACAGCAGGGCACAAGGTATCCGAGGGAGAAGTCAGACCGCGACCATCCATCCATCCATCCAAGCTGTGCCCCCAGCTCCCCCCGTGCAAGCTCTGGGAGGACACAGCCCTTCTCTCAGACACTCCCATGGCAGCCTTGGAGGTGCCCCAGCCATTCCCAGCAAGGACACATCTGTTTTATTACTGATGCTACCCTGCCTGGAGAGAGAGGGTATTAGAGGGAGAAACACTGATAATCTTTTCGGTCAACAGAAATGCTGATGGCTTAGTTTTCTAGCAGTAACCCTCTTCTCATCCCTCCGAGAAGAGACGCCCAAAGAAATAGCCATTACCTGCCAATGACTTCAACGTTGGAGACGGCATAGAAGTACTTGTACAAGTTCTCCCTCTGCACGTAGGTGCCCCCCAGGGCCGGTCTCAGCAGTCTCATCCGCAGGTCGGTCACGGTAAAGAAGTCCTTGAGCCCTTTGGCGCTCTCCAGCCGCGTGTACAAGTTGTCCATGTTCTTGAGGTCAGGGCCAGCAAAGATGGCAAAGCGGTCCCTCACCTCGAACCGGACTGTCTTCTCTTTTTTGGAGCCCGCCCAGCGGGAATACTCCTCCGTGCAGAGGACCCTGTTGGCACTGGTGGTGGAGAGGTCCCGGACCCTCCGTGCTGGCATGCTGAAGGCCTCCATGCAGTCATCTGCATAATATTGGTACGGATGCCAAGTCCTCCCGTTGTCCAGTGACTTCTCCAGCATCATGATGGTGGGTCGGCCGTACTCGAAGGTTATCACGATGTCATCCGTCAGCTCGATGCTTTTGTTCCAGGACAGCGTGATGTTGGCCAGCAGTGGCTCGGGGTACCGGCGCCACGTCACGCTCTGCCAGTACGTGGCCAGCCCTTCATTCTCACTGTCAAACATGAGTTTTGGCGGGTGGGCCAGGTCCGGGTTGGAGGCGTCGCACTCATCACTGCACAGGTATGGGTTCTCCTGGAACAACAACAATGGTCAAGAGAGAAGGCGGCAATGCCTGGGCATCGCGTGGGCATCGTGTGGGTATTGTGGACACGCGGCCAAGCTCAGACCATTACTGGGCCCTGGTTTTAGCTGTTTGTGTCAAATGTTAACTTCTGGGATGAACTGGAGTATGCTGGGGGTCTGGCTCTGGATGATGCTGTTTCTGAGCATGAATTTATGACAGAAACACAAGGCTTTTCCTTTGCTATAAGAACTGCTGAGCTGTTTCCTTTGAAAGGCCCTGCGGGAAAGGGCGTTTCAATTTGGCACAGGGGCAATTTTCATAGAAAGCGCCTTCCCTGAGACGGTCTCTGGGAAACTTCGCTTAAGCTTGGCTGAGTTACAAGCCTACGGAAAGCTGCGTTCATCCCTGCTCCCTTGCAAGAACCGAATGGCTGAAATCCCCACAGCACATCCCTGCCTCTGATGGCTCCTGATGCTGAACAGGCTGAGGACACACCGTCCCCCCCCAGTGCCTCTGAGCAGGGCTGGGGGGGAAAAACCGATTTCCCCAGCTCTGAGCTGGGGCAGGACCGAGCAGAGATGTGTGCTCCCGGTGTCTGCGCTGTCCCCAGGACAGCACCCTGGCCTTGGGGACAAGCAGAGGAGGTATGCTCAAGGTGCACCTGCTCAGCCCAATGTGCTGAACATTGCTGGTCACTCCTCAGCTCAACCTTCCCAAACGAACCAGGGGCTGAGCTGACAGGGAAGGAATCGGGAAGGGAACAGGGCAGGCAGCTCTGTGCCCACCTCCAGCACCCAGAAAGAACCCAGGACTCCTGCAGCCTAAACACCGTCCCCAGCCGCTTGCTGCTTGTCCAGGCGCCCTTAGCCTGTGGCAAATACACGGTGACATCAGTTAACCTCTGTCTTTGCAGAAACCGAATTACGTAGCTGTGCCTGGGAGCCCCGCTGCCTGCGGGCACAGGCACTTTCCAGTCACGCCGCCTTCTCCAGCTGCAGGCTGGAGGTACAACGGTCCTCGCCCACCCGCAGGGACCACGGTGGGAAGGATGGCTCATCCCATCCAGGCAACAATGTCCGCTGCTATGTCATTCATTGCCTGCAGACCCGGGCAACAGCAGAAAATGTCCAGCCATCCCATTTTGCCCACAAGTGACAGTACACAGCCAAGCTCGCATGTTTTGCAGGGACAGACACACACATCCACATGTGCTGAACTGCACTAAGGATATCCCGTCAAGGTCACGCACCGAATGTTGAAGTTTTGGAGGTGGGCATCAGGGTTAGCTACGCCAATGGGTTCATTGCTCATCCATATGTGTGTTAAAGCCCATCATTTCTTGCCCTGCAGCCCCTGCCTCTGGGAGCGTGTGGGTCAGACCTGCCTTGGGGATGACGTGGGGCTGTGTTATAGTGGGCACCACCCGCAAAAAACTCTGCAACACTCTGCAAATCTTTTTTGTGTATGAAGCATCTCTTTGCTGTCACACCACCTCCCCCCTGGACTCAAAATCCAGAGGACTGGGGAGGGAGAGGGCTCTGCTGCGGTGGGACCCTCATCAGGGAGGCAGGGCCACCTGGTAGAGGAGGAGGAGGAGGTGATAAAGCAGCTGAAGCTGCTCAGAGCTGATGGCTGGAGGCAAGCAGCCTGCTGGGTGTGAGGTCTGGCCCTCCCGAGCACAGCGGACTTGCAAGGTAAGACCGAGCCTGGTTTTTTGGTTTGGTTTGTGAATGCTTTGTGCGTGGTCGGGGACCCGTGGGAAGATGCTGTGTGTGGGGAGCAGCGTCCTCCTGCCCGGGACCGTGCTGGGGTGCAGGGGGCTGCTGGTCCCCAGCTCGCAGGGAGCTGGTGCTGGTACCTGGGGGCTCAAACAAACAAGGTGCAGGCGTGGGGTCTGTGCAGGCTGGTTGTGTCCCAGGGCTGGGAGAGCCCCGCTGCAAACGTGGGAAGAGGCTGCTCCTGTGCCTGTGGCACTGGGGACTGATCCTGCTTCACGGGCTTGCTTTAACCTGGAAAACTGTTGGAGTCTCTAAGTCCTTGTCACCTGCTTTTAGGGTGCCCCATGTATGCCCTGGGCAAAGCGGAGGAGGGGGTCTAGCTTGCGCACATGGATGCTCTGGGTTGCAAAGTGCGGCTGTGCTTTGAATGTGGAAAACAGCGTGTAACAGGAGGTGCTTTGGAAAATCTGGGCTTTGCCACCTCCAGTTGGGCAACCAAAAGTCCCGGGAACTACTTAAAGCTTCTCCACCCCGTGTCTGTCAATGGGCCTTTGGTGCCTCCCCGCAGCTTGGAGACACACGCGGAACGCGAGCAACTGTTCGCCCAGCAAGTGGAGGCCACAGCGCCAAGGAGCCTAGAAAAGCTCAGGAGGACATCAATAATTCTGTCTGTGAGCAGCGTGTGAGGAGCGTGCTGTAAATAAGGCAGAAGGTTGTTCTGCGAGCAGTGGGATAAAACAAAATAGCGAGCAGCTGATCTGTACGTGAGCACCAGGCTCCTTTGCAGGGGACGCAGCGGCAGCCTTGGGGAGAAAGGGGGGGGCTCCTGTAGACACAGCGTGCCTCGTCGTGCGGGTGTGACACAGCGTGCCTCGTCGTGCGGGTGTGACACAGCGTGCCTCGTCGTGCGAGTGTGCGTGAGGCTGCCGCGGAAAGCAGCACAAGCCAGTAGATAAAACGGGGCAAAACTCACACTATTTTCAACAGTGGCTTGCTCTCGGACACACATCTGCCCAACGGTAAAGCCACCAGTGCCGTGCTGGGGTTTTCTCCCCCTGTTACAGCCTTCACTTGAGCCACGTGTGGCTTTTGCCATCTCCGTGTGTGCAGGGAGGAAGGGCTGCAGCCGGAGCTGCTGAGCTCCGGTGCGGTGCCTGTCCTCCGAGCGCGGAAGCTACTACATGGATGCTTCCATGCACGTTTTAAAAGCAAATGTCTATAGTTTTATTATTTTTCACTTGCTTGCAGCTATGCCAGCTGAGCAAGGGAAATCAATGGAGTGCTCAGGCTTGCTCACATGGGTCAGGTTGAAGGGTGAGGGCACCTGCCCAGGAGCTCACCGCCCCGCTCCCGAAGAGGGGGAGATGCCCTGAGCAAGGGGAGATGCCAGCTGGGGTGCAGCACGGCTCTGAGCCACGCTGGAGGGTCCTCTCCTGCTGCAACATGCTGTTCCCGAGCAGGGATTAAAAAACCCTAAGATATTGACATATTTAATATGCTCTCCTGACTCGTCACGTTCAGAGGAATTGTTTACCTCTGCTAATGAGACACAGCTTCCTGCTGGGGGATGTAACTGCCTCTTAGCGCAGCTTTGCAGCAGTGGCTGATGGAAAAGGAAGAAAAATCCCCATCAGCTGCAGTGCTGGGGGCTCTCAGTACGTTTCCTGTGCTGAGGCAACATATTGTGTTGCAGTATGGTTCTACTGCCAATGTGGTCATACAGATGGCTTAATAGGACGGTCCTGAAAAGACCATCCCGGCAGTCCGTTTCCACCTCTTGTGTGAAGGAGGCTGCAGCAGTGCAGTGTCTTGGTGGGCTCAGGTGAGAAATTGGCTGGAGGCGGCAGCACAGAACTCCCCAATAAACTCGCCTTGCCGCTCATAGGGGTTTTGTATAAGCAGGAGTTTGTGTGCACGGAGCCGTCCTGGCAAGACCACTCTTGCTGTGTGGCTACCTTTCCTTGCGTGCGGCAGCCGTCAGGGTGGCCAAAGCCCTTGAGGTGGTAAAGATGAATGTCCACTGAGTATTTGCTGCTAGAGGTGCCCCCAGCATGGCCACACTGGCCAGCTTCACCTTTGGGGCTGGGGATGCTGGTCCTACCAAGGTTTTCTTTGGAGGCTTCCTTAAGCAGTGGCAAAACTACACAAGGGAAGGATTCTGTGACAAAACGATAATAAGAAAACATCACCCAGACCAGCAAAGGGTGGTCAGGGTGGGAGGAGGTGGGATAAGTTTTTCAGGGAAGCAACTGAGTCTGACAAGCGCGATCCCCCTTCTGGTGTCCCGTCTGGAGGGACAGAGCTGTCCAGGCATGTCCCTGGCAGGGGACCTGACGGGTCAAGAACAGGAAAAAGCAGAGCCAGCACTCTGCCTGTCTCCCATATGCTCATCCTAGGGATCAGGGAATGGAGATGCACAATCCCTAAGGGCTCCTCTACATCCCAACATGGAAGTGTGCTCAGCTCAGCAGGCAGCAAGCCCAAAGATGTCTTTAACCATCCTGATGCTCTGGAGTGGGAGGGCAAATGCAAAAATAACCTCTAAGTGACAGTGCTGAAAGGTGGCGGAGAGCCTCAAAAGCCACCAAATGAGTACAGCTTCCTCTGCTAAAATGAAGTGTTCCTTTTTGGTTTTAGGTTTATTGAATTGTCCTTCCTCCATGAAATGCTCAATGCATTTTCTGCTGGTGGGGTGGTTTGAAGTCAGCCGGGAGGGCAGGGGGGAGCGGAAACAGATGGCCGTACTTTGGCTGCTCCGTTAGTCCTGGTAAGATCAGTTATAGCACTGTTGAAACAATTCCAGGTATTATTTTTGAATCTGGTTTCCTCCTCCAAGCCGTGTGTCCTCCAAAGAATCTGTCCAAAGTCTCAAGATATTTACGTCTTCAATCTAAAAGTCAGAATGCATTAGGCAGGCAAACTTGGTCTCAGTGAGCTTAAAATAAACCAGTTCACTTTGAGTCTCACGCTATTAAATCAGTCGTTGAGTGTCCTCACAGCAACTAGATGTTGCAGGTTTCCAGCTCTCAAGCATAGTCTTCTGGTTGCTCATGCCTTGAGGGTGCACCTAAGACCACTGCAACCTTGCTTAGCCTCAGCTCAGCCCAAAGGGGCAAAACCCCAGGGCAAATTGCAAAAGCCTCACTGAGGACAAGTTGTCCTAACAAATTCCTGTTGCCCTGCCCCAACAGGTCCATGTCTGTCCCATGCTGAGGGCTCCAGAGCTGGATGCAGGGCCCTCGGGGTGGGGGGTCTCACCAGAGCGGAGCAGAGGGGCAGAATCCCCTCCT